CGGGAAGGGGGAGAACAAGGGAATCCGTGACTGATATGTAGAACTGAATTGTATTGCAAAATAAATTAATAAAAAAAAAAAAACTACTTTAAGCCCACTAATAAATTTTAGGTCTTCCCAGTGCACTGAATGATGCCTCTACGATAAATCACCCTACTCTGATTTATAGAACATAAAGTATAAGCATTCTTTTGCTCTTTTGTGATTACAAAGAATTGTTTGACTGGATTCACAGTTAGGATGATGTTTCCTTTCTTGTAACCAAAGAACTAGTGTACTCAGCACTCAAGCAAATTCCTAGAAACTTTCTTCTAACCTGTCTATTTTACTATCCCTCCAAATTCTCTTTCATTTGGTGCAGTCATAGTACTTGCTTCATCCTTCCAAACTCCAGAAACTCTTGGCTCTCCTGTTCGTCTCTCTACATGAGTCCCACATAGAAGCTTTCTACTTGTCTCCCAACTTTTTCTCTTAGAGAGATTACCACCCTGCAATTTCTGCTCATGATGTCTCATTATTTCACATTTTTTTGGTCTGGATAATTGAAATGACAACACAATTTCTGTTGCAGGTCATCTGTCATGGATGGTAGTAGAAGACCATGTATTAGTTTTCAGTCAATCTGCTCAAAGGCCTAGGCCTATCTTTATATACCCACTGTCATTTTCATTGTTTCCATCTCCACACATCCACCTGAACTCCATAGGCAAGTCTCAAAAACCAGTTTGATAAAATTTCTGGTCACATCCTACCATAGTCACTGGCACCAAAACTGTCTTTCAGAATAAAATATAAACATTGATTTTCTCCCTATTATTTGTCAATAAATGGCTATCACATAACCTGCATGGGTCTGTACTAGTTCCTCTGCTTATATGTTACAGTTGTTTAGTGTGGGATTTTTGTGGGACTCCTATCAGTGGGAGTGGGGGTGTCTCTGACACTTTTGCCTATTCTTGGGACCCTTTCTTCCTACTGGGTTGCCTTTCCAGCCTTAATATGAGGGTCTGTGCCAAGTTTTCTTTCATCTTCTCTCATACGATACACCCTGACCACTAACCCCCTCTCCAATCCTCCCCTCTCCCTGAGATCTACTACTCCACTTCCTTTCAGGAATGAACAGGATTTTCAGTGACATCAACTGAACATGGTATAACAAGATGTAATAATAACCACTTCAGTTAACGTTGTTTTTCAGTTTTTCAAATCTGTCTCTATGTTGTTCTGGCTGTCTTGGAACTTGCTCTGTAGAGCAGGATGGCCTTTAACTCAGAGATCTGCCTGCCTCTTCCTCCAGAGAGCTGGGATTAAGCACATGTGCTGCCACTGCCTGGCCAGTTACAGCTTTTTAAACCAGTTATTAAGGTTTACTAATATTCTTTTGTATATATTTGTGTGTACCTGTGCATGTTTATGTAAGGGTACATATACATATTGAAGACAGATATGAACCATGGTATCACTCTCTGGGAGTCCAGTCAAAGAGTTAAGAGGGATTATATGAGCAAGGGGGGTCAAAGTCAGGATGGGGAAATCTACAGAGACAACTGAACCGTGCTCTTAGGAGCTCATGAGTTTTAGACTGTGGAACATGCATGTGACTGTACTAGGCCCTCGGCATATGAGAGAGTTGTGCAGCTTGGTCTGTTGGAGAGGCCCCTGGCAGCAGGATCAGGATCTATCCCTGGTGCATGAGCTGGCTTTCTGGAGTTCATTATGGTTGGATGCCTTGCTCACCCTTGATGCAGGAAGGAAGGGCTTATAACTGCCTCAACTGAATGTACCAGCCTTTGCTGACTCCCCATGGGAGGCCTTTACCCTTTAGGAGAAGGGATGGGGGGTGGCTCAGGGGGGATGCTGGAGGAGAGTAGGAGGAGGGATGAAATGGGAATCTATGGTTGGTATATAAAATAAATAAATTTTTTTAAAGAAGATAAAATAGGGGAAGACAGAGGGAATGGGGGATATCAGGAGAACAAGGCCCTCTAAAATAGCTGAGTGAAGCACATATGAACTCACAGCAATCACAGTGCCTACAAAGGTCTGCTCCCTGAATATATATTAAAGCTTTCAGTTTAGTACTTTTATTGGACTCCTGAATCTGTGAATGAGTGGATCTCTGATTCTTGTGCCCACTCTTTGGACTCTTTTATTTTTCTATTGACTTGTCTTGTCCAACTTCTGTATTTTTTGTTTTATCTTATTATAATTAATTTTGTTAGAACAAAAGAAAATTAAAAATGAAAGTCAGTCACTATTGTGGTTTTTATAACCCCTTATTGTAAATAGTACCCAGAACATAGAAGATGGTCAGTAACTCTATGTAAATAGTACATTAATATCAATTGTAAATAATTAATAGTAATTAAATATTTCTATCATAGACAAGGAAAGAGGAGGGGTTGCTAGTCCTGACTTCTGAGGAGTATTTGGCAGTTGCTGGCTACTAGGGAAAGGAAAATCAGAGTATTGTTTGTTTGGTACACAGCCATTGGTAGACTGCCTATTACCCAGTGGATGACAGGCAAAACTGTGCATATATAGGCAGCACTAGATGGACTCAGTGATTTTTAAAAAACCAAACTACTCAGCAGAGAAAAACAATGACATCATGAGGTTTGCAGGCAAATGGATGGATCTAGAAAAAATCATCCTGAGTGAGGTAACCAGACTCAGAAAGACAAACATGGTATGTACTCACTCACAGGTGGATACTAGATGTAAAACAAAGGATGACTGGACTGCTACTCACAACTCCAGGGAGGCTACATGGAAAACAGGATCCCAAGAAAGACACAGGGATCGCCCAAAGACGGAGAAATGCATGAGATCTACGTGAACAGCCTGGACATGAGTGGGGAAAATGAAGGGCGAGGGTCGAGGGAAAGAGAGCTTGGGAGAGCGGGAGATCCCAGCTGGATCAAGAACAGAGAGGGAGAACAAGGAATAGGAGACCATGGTAAATGAAGACCACGTGAGACTAGGAAGAAGCAAAGTGCTAGAGAGGCCCACAGAAATCCACAAAGATACCCCCACAATAGACTGCCGGCAATGGTCGAGAGACAGCCCGAACTGACCTACTCTGGTGATGGGATGGCCAGACACCCTAATTGTCATGCTAGAAACCCCATCCAATGGCTGAGGGATCTGGATGCAGAGATCCATGGCTAGGCCCCGGGTGGAGCTCCGGGAGTCCAGTTAGTGAGAAAGAGGAGGATTTATATGAGCAAGAATTGTTGAGACCAAGGTTGGATAAAGCACAGGGACAAATAACCAAACGAATGCAAACACATGAATCATGAACCAATAGCTGAGGGGTCCCCAACTGGATCAGGCCCTCTGAATGGGTGAGACAGTTGATTGGCTTGATCTGTTTGGGAGGCATCCAGGCAGTGGGACTGCTCATTGCATGATTTGGCTGTTTGAAACCTAGGGCCTATGCAGGATCGCTTGGCTCGGCCTGGGAGGAGGGGATTAGACCTGCCTGGACTGAGTCTACCAGGTTGATCTCAGTCCTCGGGGGAAGATTGCCCTGGAGGAGGTGGGAATGGGGGGTGGGCTGGGGGAAGGGGAGGGGGGCGGGAGCGGGGAGAACAAGGGAATCCGTGGCTGATATGTAGAACTGAATTGTATTGTAAAATAAAATAAAAAAAAAGAATATTGGCAACCTAGGGAATGTTATTTCCATAAATGACTGCATTAAGATAAACACTTTCCAAATATAATTAGCTGAAAAAAACCCAAACAAACAGAGGAAATAAGTCAAAAAAACATATGGAGTTGGGAAGGGCATATGTTTTAGGTCTTTGGAAGATTAGAGAAGAGATGGAGTTGGATGATATAGGAGGCATATATGTCCTTGTGCTCACAGATAAGAACCAAGGGAACCAGGAATGTGAAACATTCACAGTTGTTTCTTCAAAGGAAAAAATGCATAACTTTTTTTCTGCCCAGAATCATGGGAGAAGACATGGTTCAAAACCTGGTGACCTTTGGGCTATTGTGTGTCAGAGACCATACTGGGTCTCCTCCTAGACACTTATCTTGAGCTTGTTTTATTCAGTTAATGTATAGAACCTATCGTTGAAGATGATGTCACATGTACTTTACAAAATGTTTGGATGTAGTCATGTCTTAAGCTTTGTTGTGCACGTGGAACTGAATTAATCTACCACCAGGAAATGTTCACCAAATTGTACTGTGCTTACATGTATCTAAAATAAATTACTTGGAGTCAGACTCCCAAAGTATGAACCAATATCCTCTACTGAGTCATGTTGAAGAGAACTGCTTTTTGTCTCCCACGTATTGTTACTTCACTTGCTATGGTGGTTGTAGAGATCCATTCAAGATTTGATCAAGAGACATTGTATATATGTTAGAAAATTTCAAAGAATAAATACAAATTTGCTTGAATAAAATAATGGTTTGTGAACCAAAACTTCCAGTCAGGGGCTAGGGAGATACCACACCTATATTAAAGGTTCCACAAGACAGAATGACTGATTGGAACTTCAGTATTGTGGAGAGTTAGAATGTTGCAGATCCACAGTTAAATTATATTGAATTATCCTGAGTCTCCTTAATAGTCCCAGTTTTAGATTTCATTGTCAAAGACTAGGAGAACTGAAGCACAGCATTTTCCTCCTAAAGACATACAGAGTCCCTGGAGATTAGGAGGAGTTGTCTGGGAATCTTAGTGACCTGGGAGAACAGGAGCCTCTTTTCATTTACTGTCTTCTCAGGAGCACAGGAATACCTAGATCCATATTCCCCTGCTCTCACACTGTGGATATTTGTAAATTTTTACCTTTACATTTCTATTGTATTTGTATATTTATTCCACTGTGATGTTTCTCAAGAGTCATTCTTCCCACCTGACTCAAGTAACCTAAAGTGCCTTTTTAAAATGCAAATTGTAAGAACACTTGATCAGAATTACTGGGAACAGGTCCAGATATGTATGTACTTCTAACACACACCTATTGTGATTGTTACAGGCATTTGAGTTCTAAAATTGAATGCTGTTCTTTGGAAGATTCAGAAGAGCCATTAGCAACAGAAGCAACATCTACCACATTGTGAGTTCCCAGTGATCTAGGAAATAACTATAATAACAAGAAATGGGGCAAGCACAATTTTGCATACTGGAATTGGTTCATAGTGAATTGCTGCATAATGCAGCAAGGTCAAGATTGGGTTTTGATGCATTAGGACTGTCTTCTTAATGTCTCTGATTCTGACTCTGGGATGAAGCAGGAAATCAGCTGAAGACGGATATTATTTGTCTTACCTGTGAGAAAGACCTTACAGATTTAACAATAAAACTGTTTTTAGTGTAATTCTATGAATTGTGAGATTTCTCAAAGGTCACTGAATTTTTCATGCCTTTATGGATGATAACTGAAACTGCAGTGATTTCCTGAAAGGAGAAACACACAAAGAGGAAAGAAGAAAGGAAAGAAGAAAGGAGAAAAAGGAAGCAAGATGTAGAATACAAGGCAAGCAGAAAAATTGGAGGAAATAATAAAAACAATTCATTTCTTTTCAGATCTTTTCCAATTAAATGGTTTTATAAAAAGGCTTAGAAACTGCTTTTGATTCTTAACATGGGCTCCTTATGTGGGCTGAGAAAATGACAGACCATGAGTCTGCTTTTCGCCTTCATTTATTTCATTTCTGTCTCTGACTTCTTCTTGACTCCATGATTACCCTTCAAAGAGTATCTGATGACTTATCACATCTCATCACCTCTCAAGCCTGATATAACAGAGAAAAATCACATCCTTCAGCATTTAGTCACCTTGGGTTCCAGAAGAGTAAAGGTTCACAGGATTGACCAACCTAAATGAGAGCAATTATAAGTGAAAGCACGGACTCATCTCAGGGCATCAGTAATACATCTTATAAGGACCAATTTGCTACCTTAAGTGATGGCGGATTCTCTGGACTATCTTACACATTCTCAACTCAGACAACAGACAATGATCAGTGACAGCCTCATGCCTTAACTATGATGGTCCAAGTATGCATACCTCTTACCATTTCCTCCACTCTTTCTATGTTTTTTAAATGAAATTTATTCTTTTATTTTGCATCCTGACCACAGTTTCCCCTCTCCCCTCTCCTCTCATTTCCTCCCTCAACATCCTCTCAGATCCCCACCCCATCCACTCCTCCTCTGTTTCCGTTTAGAAAAGGGCAGGCCTCCAACGGGTATCAACAAAGCATGGCATATCAAGTTGAGCTAGGCCTGAACGCCTCCCCTTGTATTAAGGGTGGGCAAGGTAACCCAATATGAGGAATAGATTCCCAAGAGACAGCCAAAGTGTTAGGGACAGCCCCTGCTCCCTCTGTGAAGAGTTCCACAAGTAGACCAAGTTGCACAACTATAACATATATGCACAGGGCCTAGGTCTGTCCCTTGCAGGCTCCTTAGTTGTCAATCCAGATCCTGTGAGCTTCTGTGAGCCCAGGTTAGCTGTTTCTGTGATTACCTTGTGATGTCATTGACTCCCCTGGCTTGTTAAATCCTTTTTTTTCTCTCTTCAGCAGGGTTCCCTGAGCTTGGCCCAATGCTTGGTTGTGGATCTCTGCACCTGTTTCTATAAGTTACTAGATAAAGACTCTCTGATGACAATTGGGGTAGTCACCAATCTATGAATATAGCAGAATATTGTTAAGCATCATTACATTGACAATTTTTTACAGTGATGTTTGGTTCTATCTTAGGTCTCTGGGCCATCTAGCCTCTGGGTCCTGGCACCCTAGGAAGTGTCAGAGGAGCAATCATTCTCATGGGATGATGGGTCTGAGGCTGGACCAGTCATTTGTTGGCCACTCCCACAATCTCTGCACCACTCTTAAGCCCTAAATTTCAATAGGCAGGACAGACTGTAGGTCAAAGGTTGTATGGCTGGGCTAATGTCCCAGTCCCTCCACTGGGTCACAGGAGATTGTTGCAGAATACTTGTTTATACTGTGTGAAGATGTGTCACTGTGATTGGTTTAAGAAAGAGCTGAGTGGTCAATAGCTAGGCAGGGGACAATAGGCAGATTTCTGGTGACAGAGAGAAATCTGGGAAGAAGGGATGCAGGCAGACACCAGTGAGACACAGAAAAAAAATCAGACATACTGTACAGAGGAGAGGTAATGGGGCTACATGGCAGAACATAAATTAATAGATGCAAATTAATTTAAGTTATAGGAGCTGGTTGGGAAACAGCCAAAGCTAAGGCTAAGCTTTCACAATTAATAATAAGTCTCTGTCACTGTTTGAAGGCTGGTAGTCTAAAAAAAGTCTAACAAGAAAGTACAACAATAGGAGACGACAAGTTCTGGCTATTAGAAATAAAGCTGCCATGAACACAGCTGGGCAAGTCTCCTTGTGATATAATTGAGCATCCTTTGGCTATATACCCCAAAGTGTTAAAGCTGGGTCTTGAGGTAAATGGATTTCCAGTTTTCTGAGAAACTGTCATACTGATTTCCAAAGTGGCTGTCCAAGTTTGCACTCCCAGAAAACCATGTAGGCATGTTCCTCTTGCCCCACATTCTCTCTAGCATAAGCTGTCATTTGTGTTTTTGACCTGAGGCATTCTGACAGGTGTAAGATAGTATCTCAGAGTCCTTTTGATTTGTATTTCCCTGACAGCTAAGGATGTTGAACATTTCTTTTTTTATTAAGATTTTTTTATTTATTTTGTATATCATTTACATATCCCCCTCTCTTCTCTTTTCCTGTCCCCTCATTGCCCCCTCAATCTATCCTTCATTCCCTCCTCTAAAAAGGTAATGATTCCCATGTGGAGTCAGCAAAGCTGGTACATTCATTTGAGGCAGGTTCAGGCCCCTCCCCCTGCCTCAAGGCTGTGCAAGGTGTTCCACCATAGGTAATGGGCTCCAAAAGGCCACCTCATGCACCAGGAATGGATCCTGATTCTACTGCCAGGGGGCCCCTTAAGCAGATCAAGTTACACAACTGTCTCACTTATTCAGAGAGCCTAGTCCAGTCCCATGCAGGCTCCACAGCATTCCTTGGGTATATGCCTAAGAGTGGTATTGTTGGGTCTTGAGGTAGATTGATTCCCAATTTTCTGAGAAACTGCCATATTGATTTCCAAAATGTCTGTACAAGTTTGCACTTCCACCAACAGTGGAGGAATGTTCCCCTTGTTCCACATCCTCTCCAACATAAGCTGTCATCAGTGTTTTTGATCTTAGCCATTCTGACAAGTGTAAGAGGGTATCTCAGAGTCCTTTTCATTTTCATTTACCTGATGACTAAGGATGTTGAACAATCCATTGAATATCTTTCAGGCATTTGAGATTATTCTGTTGAGAATTTTCTGCTTAGCTCTGTAGCACATTTGTAAATTGGATTGTTTGGTATTTTGGTATCTAGTTCCAAGGAGTGCACAAGCATACCACAAGGACACTTGCTGAACTCTATTCATAGCAGCATTATTGTAATAGCCAGAACCTGGGAACATTTCTTTAAGTATCTCAGCCATTTGAGATTTTTCTGTTGAGAATTCTCTGTTTAGATATGTTCTCTATTTTTCTTAAATTAGATTATTTGTTTTTTAGAAGTCTAGTTTCTGGAGTTCTTTATATATTTTGGAGATGAGATCTTTGTGAAATATGGGGTTAGTGAAAATAGTTTCCCATTCTGTTGGCTGCTGTCTTGTCTTTTTAACAGTGTCCTCTGCCTTACAGAAGCTTCTAAATTTCATGAAGTCCCATTTATTAATTGTTGATCTTAGTTTTTGTGTGACTGATGTTCTATTCAAGAAGTTGTCTCCTGTGCCAATGCATTCAAGGCTATTTCTCAATTTCTCTTATATCAAGTTCAGAGTACCTGTGTTTATGTTGAGGTATTTGATCCAACTTGGGTTTGAGTTTTGTCCAGAGTGAGAAGTATGGATCTATTTGCATTCTTTCCATGTTCACATCCAGTTATGCAACCACCAGTTGTTGAAGATGCTTTCTGTTTTCCATTGTATAATTTTGGCTTCTTTGTCAAAAGTCAGGTGTCCATTGGTGAGTGCATTTATATCTGGGTCTTCCATTTGATTCTATTCAGTGACCTGTTTTTATGCCAGTATCACACAGTTTTTATTACTATAGCTGTACAGTAGCACTTGAAATCATTGATTGTGATATTTTCAGAAGTTCTTTTATAGTACAGGATTGTATTAGCTATCCTAGGTTTTTGTTTTTCCATATGTTCTATCAAGGTCTGTAAAGAATCATGTTGGAACTTTGATGGGGATTGCATTGAATTTCTAGATTATTTTGGTAAAATGACCGTTTTTTACTATGTTAATCCTACTGATCCATCAACATGGGAGATCTTTCCATCTTCTAATATCTTCTCCAATTTCTTTCTTGAAGTTCCTATCATACAAGTCTTTCAATTGCTTGTTTAAAAGTTACCCCAAGATAATTTGAATTATTTGTGACTATTATGAAAGGTTTTGTTTCCCTGATGTCTTTCTCAGCCCATTTATTGTTTGTTAATAAGAGGGCTACTATTTTTTTTGAGTTTATCTTGGATCCAGTCACATCAATGAAGGTGTTTATCAGCAGTATGCATTCTGTGGTAGAATTTTGGGAGTTGCTTATATATACTTTTGGGATGATTCACCTCTAACAGGCTTGAGGGCAAGCTGGCCTAAACAAGTAAAAAAGATACTTTCTGAGAGCCAACCTGGGTCTGCCTAAGGGCCTTAGCAACAGCAGTGGAGTTTGGGACACAGCCTAGCAGTGGTGTTGGTGCTTAATTGGAAGGGGGAGGTGCAAGGAATGTGCCTTGGGTATTGGTGTGTGGATATTGGGGCAGCTCAGCTGGGAGGCTGGTTACTTACCAGTTCTTCTGACTGGTGTGGGCTGTACCTGGGCCTATGGAGCTTGCTGAAATTGTTAGGAAAGGCTGGCTATGTGGAGGATGATGAGTTGGGAGAGGGTGGGCAGTGGAGTGGGTCTTGGAGGATGAGAATCAGAAGGTGGTGGCAGTCCAGATGGTAGGGGGGTCATTCACTTACTTATTGACTGATGGACTGCCCATTATCCCTATGTTTAACCCTATAGCTCATATCAGTACTCCAAAACAGGATTTGGGGTCATTGAACAACACTGTCTGCTATTTCCAGCGGGGCTAAAATGATCAAATTTCATCTCTGCTTTTCAAAATCATGGCTTAATAGCTTATTGGTGCTTGTGGCTTGGCCCACCCTATTGGAACTGCCAGAGCATGGGCCTTTGCTTTATCCATCTGGTTATGGCTTTTCTTTATATCATAGGGTCTTTTCTCTCCATTAGAAAGAAGTGTAAGTCCACCTATTAACATACTCTTGCAAGAACTGTGGAAAAGTGTTCTGACCTTGTGCTTTCATTACTAAATCAGCAACTGAGAATCAGATCGCTTGTGTATGTCTTCACTAGTTGTCAATGTTACAATTCCAGATATATAAAAAAATCCAGTGGCCATTTCTTTTGGAGAATTACCACATTTTGAGACAGATCATTGTTTCTCCATCTAACAGTTTCACATAACACAGAAGCATTTGGGTTCCAAAGCATAAAATGACAGTTGGCAGGAAATGAGCGCAGCCCTTTGCACCCCGGTGGGTTGGTCCCACAGCTAAACTGTTGTTAAAACTTCTAAAAAGGAAGACAATATTGTAGTGGTGAGGGCAAAGATGAATACTTAATTCTAGTCCAGCATGCATAACCTATCTGAGTACATTTTCTTTACTTGTTCATCCACTGATGAATACCTAGGTTGAAATAAAAGTATATTAATATAAGTAATATAAGATATTGTGAGTAATACTGAAGTAGACATAGGGTGAGTTATTTCTTTAATGTATTGATATAAATATTTTTGGGTAAATATCCAAAAGTAGGATAACTATATCATATGGTCATTTATTTTTATTTCCTTGAGGATACTCCACACTGTATTTCTAATTACATTACCATAAGCAGGATGTAAGAATTCCCTCTCTTCTATATATTCA